GAGCCTGCAGGAGAAGGACATGAGCCCGGGAAAGGAGAACCACCGTCCACCCGGCCATACCCTTCGCCTTTCGCGGCCAAGAAGCAGAAATAGTCAGGAACCCTTCTTCTTGCCCCCAGGAGGTTTCTTACCCTTCCTACCCTTCCCCTTGTTGCCGTTGAAGTGAGGTTGGGACTTGGGCTGTGCAGAAAACTGAGCAGCCGAAGACTTCGCCTTCTTCTTAGGAGGCACTGACCCCTGCGAGGCACTGGCCTTCTCAGCCTGAAACCTCTTCACCAGAAGTGCTGAGGCGACCGAGTCCTCCTTCATATCCTTCTGAACCCAAGGAAGAGCTCCCCTGAACAGGGTAGAGCCCTAGAAGGGGGCATTCAACAAGCGGAAACGGTAGGGTTACTGGACTGGGCGGAATTTCAGAACTGAAAACTGCCTAGCCAACACGGCATTGACGAGCAGAGAACCTGCAAGGCTGCCGTGTCCTGTATGTCGGCTGTTCTGTCTCGGATAACCGACACTCAGGCAAATCGGATACCCTGTATAGACAAACTGTCAGGAAGTCTATGTATGACAGAACTTGGATGGAGAGGTGCAACATTCTCTCCATCCTGTGGTGCTCTTTGGGATCGAGCACCACCTGGTCCACTGATTTGCCGGGCCAGGCAGCCAGCTGTCTCAACTCCAGCTGTGCTGGTTGAGAGGCCAGCTGCCCATCATGTGTGGCATAGTCGGAAGATGAAGCCTCCGACAATTCACCAACACTGAGCTGCAGACCGACAAACCCGAGAGCACGGGTAGAGAAGGAGTCCTTCTCTAAAACCGGAGCCCGGGCCGTGGCCAGAACCAAAGACATGATATTGCCTTCTGGCAGAGACCGATCTGAGCGAACGGAAGCCCGAGGAGCCACCAGGGAACCCAGAAGGATGGTGGATTCAGGCGCTGACGATGCTGAGGCGGTGGGCAAACCTCCGCCCTGAGAATCCGGGAGATGTTGGCCCGGAGGACCCACATCCCAGAAAGCACATGCTGAGCCTCAGCTTCAGCAGTCTCAGGGCCATCTTCCCCTTGTGAACCCTCTTGGCCCAGGAGAAAGATGAATGACATCGTCTTCCTCTGCCGAGCCCGCACCCTCGATGTCCATCTCCTCCTCAATAGAGACCGAAGTCCCCTTGGGAGGAACAGGGGCCGCCAGAGGAGCCATCTCCGCAGAGGGGAACTCCTCTTTATGGCATTTGGACGCAGCGCGACCAACAGCTGTAGCTGTAGGCTTGGGTCGGAGACCCGAAGCCGACCCCTGGGAACAGGAGACCGACGGGTCCGCGCTGGAGGCGGAAGTCCTTAAGGTCTGGCAAACCTTTATAGGACCGGCCAACAAGGCCCCCGAAGTAGCAGAACATTGGGGGGATTCCGCACTGCTATAACATCTCCTAGAGGAGAGACCAACCCCTATGGGTTCCACGAGTGAAGACCCATGGGGTAAAAACCCAAACCCCTGAGGGAATGGGAACGGTCCAGCGGGCCGGGAGTGACCCCAGAACTGGCCAAGATGGCCTGCCTGAGTCTGGGGCTGGACATCCTGTCCAAAGGACCAGGATGAACCGCCACTCCCACCAGGTGGAAACCCAGACATGTACAGGCTAAGCCCGTAACTGCTGAGTAACTGTTGGTACCCAAAACCATCCGCAGGTTGGCCTGGGCGACCCAGGAATAAGTGCCCGCAGGCACCCCTACTCCCTGAGCCCGGGGGAAAGGGAGACTGGAAACCGGACTCCTGGCCTGAAGCCCCAAACCCTTGGAGGAAAACCCCCTGGGAAACCCTGCACTGGGAAATCTGGATTGGGACGGAAGGTCCAGAGCCAGAAGCCTGTGAGGGTGGGAAAACAGACCCCGCGCTGACACCAGGATTAGTGAACTCAAGTGTCACTAATCCCCGTAGCCACAGACAATCCTGACAAAAAGTCTGTGGCCCCTGAACCTACTGTGGATTCATTTATTTTCGTTGGGTTCAATTTTCGTTGTTTCTACAAATTAGACAGTTTCGTGGACTCATAAATTCGTGGATTTTTGATTCTGTGGGAAAAAAATAAAAACGTTAGAATTTTCTCTTTTTGCTTCCAGTCGAAATTATTTCTGTTTGTATTAAGGCTATGTTCACAGGAATTAACACTAATGACAAGAATAAAAGAACGTTTTTTTTCAAGATGGCGTCCTGTGTTTTTATAACGCTGTTTACAACAGTCTCGCATTAATATCAAACCACAAATCAGTATATATCCTGGCGTGTAATCAATCGGTAATTATCAGAAACAATTGTTTTCAGTGGATAAACATTGTGTGCTGATCAGTCGGTGTACCGCAGTCATATGAAAACACCACGCGTAACGATTGGACCATGTGTGTAAACAGGTGTGTAAACAAGATCTGCATTATTAATAATTATTGTGAACCTGTAGTCGGATAGAAATACGGATCCAATCTTCAATCGACAGGATGGTCCGATCAAGCCTAGTGTCCACAGTGTCGCTAACGACTGCGATCCCATCATACTTAGCATCACAATGGGTACTTACCCTTTGTTATGTTTAATAATATATAATTATATATCGTTGACACCAATTTAGCGTATCCATGTCGAGCCTCAGACTACCCGACTCCCGACTAATTACGGGGCTTCTGTCATTACCGGTGGACGTTTCCGGTGTCGGCAAAGATTACTTGGTCAAATTTCAAAATTACTTTAGTAAGTAGTTCATATTTCGTTGTGTTTTTAAATTCGTGGATTTGCTCATCCACGAAAACAACGAAAATTGGACCCCCACGAAATAAAATGAATCCACAGTATACCCGAAGGCACAGTTCCGGAGTCAAAGAGGCCCCCACCAACGACGCCACCTGGCGTGCCGAGGTCCCTGAAGGAATCAGAGACCTCGACCGGAAGTCCCTTTCCGACGGTAACACCGCCGCCTATCGAGAGCTACCGGTCAATTCGACCCTTGACTGCGCCGAGTCAGGGTCGGGCTGCCCCCCCCCTACTCCAGGACGCACCTGGACAGGGGGAGCCACCCCCTGCTGAAGGGCGGAGCTCGGTGGAACGAGAGCACCCCCAGCAGGAACGCTCTGGTTCAGAACTTCAGGAGGGAGGTCTTAAAAAGCTTACTTCCCTTACCGGAAGAAGAGGACGAATCCCTCTTCCGGCGGAAAGTTAACTGGAAAGGCATGGGAGCCTAAGCAGCAGACTCCATGTGCAAACAAAGTTCACATAGTGAGGTCTGGCTGTAATGTCGGCAAATGGGACAGGTATCATGGGGTTCCCATTATCTATAGAAATAGGAACATCCATGCGCTGACCCCCGACGTAAACCCGGCACCTTTATCCAGCATCGAAACAATAAAAAATTGTAACAATGAAAACAAGGATAAAAAGTTTTCTAACAATCAAAAAACTACGAACGAGATCATAAAACCTACCGTACGCAGCAAGATTGTACTGCAAAAAAAGAAAACGGTCGTACAAAACGGCCGACAAAGCAGCAAGAAAACAATTTCAACTTCACGAAAATCCGAGTGACGAGACAAGTAGTCACTCACTCGAACACGCGGAGTAAAAACACGGCCGGAAACGAAGTTCTCGAACAATCAAAAAACTACGAACGAGAGCACAAAGCCTACCGTACGCAGCAAGATTGCACTGCATAAATAAAACGGCCGTACAACACGGCCGACAAAGCAGCAAGAAAACAAATTCCAACTTCACGCAAATCCGAGCAACGAGACAAGTAGTCACGCACTCGAATACGTGGAGGAAAAAACGGCCGGAAATACGGTCAAAATAAACAAATGACAATACTTAATTTCACAATATAAGTTGGGAGATGGGTTTATAGACTACTAATAGAGTAACAATATACTCAAACGACAATGGCAGTACGAAGAGAAGGAGTAAGAAAAGCACTTAGCTCAGACACCTCTGCACTCGTCGGCAGCCATAAAGGTAAGAGGAAGGGAGATCACTCTGCGTTCCTGCCGTGATGGCTCATGGATCGTAGGGAGGGCGGGATTGTTTTTCTTTTGAATCTTTTGTTGTTGGGATACAAAGATGGGTGTAGGTACTGTATTTGCATACTAAAGTTATGGTAATTATTACTGAAATGAAATTTATAATTTACATCAACACCTGTCCATGAATTTTATAATTTACAACAACACCTACCTGTCCATGAATTTTATAATTTACATCAACACCTGTCCATGAATTTTATAATTTACAACAACAGCTGTCCATGAATTTTATAATTTACAACAACACCTGTCCATGAATTTTATAATTTACATCAATACTACCTCAACACCTGTCACTGAATTCTATAATTTACATCAACATTTGCCTCAACACCTGTCACTGAATTCTATAATTCACATCAACAACTGCCTCAACAACTGTCACTGAATTCTATAATTTACATCAACATTTGCCTCAACACCTGTCAATGAATTCTATAATTCACATCAACAACTGCCTCAACACCTGTCACTGAATTCTATAATTTACATCAACATTTGCCTCAACACCTGTCACTGAATTCTATAGTTTACATCAACATCTGCTACTGAATTCTATAATTGACATCAACATCTGCTACTGAATTCTATAATTGACATCAACATCTGCTACTGAATTCTATAATTGACATCAACATCTGCTACTGAATTCTATAATTGACATCAACATCTGCTACTGAATTCTATAATTGACATCAACACCTGTCACTGAGTAGTTTAATTTACATCAATTCTAACTCAACATCTGTCAATGAATATTCAACTGCATCTATCAACAAACCACCGAGATATACTTTCATGTAATGCGACCGAGATTAGATCAGTGTGCCTATGTTTGTTACAGTGAGCCTGAGTATACATATCAATGTTACAGTACTGACTGTTCACTTATCATCACTGTAAAAAAAACACTGCTGGAATTTAGGTATATACGCTGACCTACTATCAGTTAATCTATTACTGCGACACACCGAGCGAATAACAGGGAGACAATCGTAAGTATAGCAATACATGAGATTACTACAGTAAACAATCATCAGATACTATACAGTATCTACATTGTCACAATAGTGATTATGTTGAAGGGTACCTGTATAAACAATGGTTTCTATTGTAAAGGGTACCCTGGTACACAATGGACCCTATTTTGAAAGGTACCCTGGTACACAATGGACCCTATTTTGAAGGGTACCCTGGTACACAATGGACCCTATTTTGAAGGGTACCCTGGTACACAATGGACCCTATATTGAAGGGTACCCTGGTACACAATGGTATATTTTGAAGGGTACCCTGGTACACAATGGTTCCTATTTTGAAGGGTACCCTAGTACACAATGGTATATTTTGAAGGGTACCCTGGTACACAATGGACCCTATTTTGAAGGGTACCCTAGTACACAATGGACCCTATTTTGAAGGGTACCCTGGTACACAATGGTTCCTATTTTGAAGGGTACCTTCGTGCATAATGGTATATTTTGAGGGGTACCCTGGTACACAATGGACCCTATTTTGAAGGGTACCCTAGTACACAATGGTTTCTATTTTGAAGGGTACCCTGGTACACAATGGACCCTATTTTGAAGGGTACCCTAGTACACAATGGACCCTAATTTGAAGGGTACCCTGGTACACAATGGTTCCTATTTTGAAGGGTACCTTCGTGCAAAATGGTATATTTTGAGGGGTACCCTGGTACACAATGGACCCTATTTTGAAGGGTACCCTGGTACACAATGGTATATTTTGAAGGGTACCCTGGTACACAATGGTATATTTTGAAGGGTACTCAGGTACACAATGGACCCTATTTTGAAGGGTACCTTCGTGCACAATGGTATATTTTGAAGGGTACCCTGGTACACAATGGACCCTATTTTGAAGGGAACCCTGGTACACGATGGTTCCTATTTTGAAGGGTACCTTCATGCACAATGGTATATCTTGAAGGGTACCCTGGTACACAATGGACCCTATTTTGAAGGGTACCCTGGTACACAATGGACCCTATTTTGAAGGGTACCCTGGTACACAATGGTAAATTTTGAAGGATACCCTGGTACACAATGGACCCTATTTTGAAGGGTATCCTGGTACACAATGGTATATTTTGAAGGGTACCCTGGTACACAATGGTACATTTGGAAGGGTACCCTGGTACACAATGGTATATTTTGAAGGGCACCCTGGTACACAATGGTATATTTTTAAAGGTACCCTGGTACACAATGGTATGTTTTGAAGGGTACCCTTGTACACGATGGTATATTTTGAAGGGTACCCTGGTACACAATGGACCCTATTTTGAAGTACAGACATTGTATCTATAGTACAGTCACTATATCTACAGTAGTCAGTATATCTACAGTACAGTCAGTATATCTACAGTACAGTCGGTATATCTACAGTACAGTCACTATATCTACAGTAGTCAGTATATCTACAGTACAGTCAGTATATCTACAGTACAGTCGGTATATCTACAGTACAGTCACTATATCTACAGTAGTCAGTATATCTACAGTAAAGTCAGTACATCTACAGTAAAGTCAGTATATCTACAGTACAGTCAGTATATCTCCAGTACAGTCACTATATCTACAGTAGTCAGTATATCTACAGTACAGTCACTATATCTACAGTACAGTCAGTATATCTACAGTACAGTCAGTATATATACAGTACAGTCAGTATATCTACAGTACAGTCACTATATCTACAGTACAGTCACTATATCTACAGTACAGTCACTATATCTACAGTACATTCAGTATATCTACAGTACAGCCAGTATATATACAGTAGTCAGTATATCTACAGTACAGTCACTATATCTACAGTTCAGTCAGTATATCTACAGTACAGTCTGTATATCTACAGTACAGTCAGTATATCTACAGTAGTCAGTATATCTACAGTACAGTCAGTATATCTATGTTACAGTCAGTATATCTACAGTACAGTCAGTATATCTAGTCACTATATCTACAGTACAGTCACTATATCTACAGTACAATCACTATATCTACAGTACAGTCACTATATCCACGTTACAGTCAGTATATATACAGTACAATCAGTATATCTACAGTACAGTCACTATATCTACAGTCAGTATATCTACAGTACAGTCAATATATCTAATTACAGTCACATATCTACAGTACAATCACTATATCTACATTACAGTCACTATATCTACGTTACAGTCACATATCTACAGTACAGTCATTATATCTACAGTTCAGTCAGTATATCTACAGTACAGTCAGTATATATACAGTACAGTCAGTATATATACAGTACAGTCAGTATATCTACAGTACAGTCACTATATCTAGAGTACAGTCACTTTATCTACAGTACAGTCAGTATATCTACAGTACAGTCAGTATATATACAGTACAATCAGTATATCTATAGTATAGTCAGTACATCTACATTACAGTCACATATCTACAGTACAGTCAGTATATCTACAGTACAGTCACTATATCTACAGTACAGTCAGTATATATACAGTAGTCAGTATATCTACAGTACAGTCACTATATCTAGAGTACAGTCACTTTATCTACAGTACTGTCAGTATATCTACAGTACAGTCACTATATCTACAGTACAGTCAGTATATCTGCAGTACAGTCAGTATATCTAGTCACTATATCTACAGTTCAGTCACTATATCTACAGTACAATCACTATATCTACAGTACAGTCACTATATCTACAGTACAGTCAGTATATCTGCAGTACAGTCAGTATATCTACAGTACAGTCACTATATCTACAGTATAGCCACTATATCTACAGTACAGTCAGTATATCTTCAGTACAGTCACTATATCTAGAGTACAGTCACTTTATCTACAGTACAGTCAGTATATCTACAGTACAGTCAGTATATATACAGTACAATCAGTATATCTACAGTACAGTCACATATCTACAGTACAGTCAGTATATATACAGTACAATCAGTATATCTATAGTATAGTCAGTACATCTACATTACAGTCACTATATCTACAGTACAGTCAGTATATATACAGTAGTCAGTATATCTACAGTACAGTCACTATATCTAGAGTACAGTCACTTTATCTACAGTACAGTCAGTATATCTACAGTACAGTCACTATATCTACAGTACAGTCAGTATATCTGCAGTACAGTCAGTATATCTAGTCACTATATCTACAGTTCAGTCACTATATCTACAGTACAATCACTATATCTACAGTTCAGTCACTATATCTACAGTACAATCACTATATCCACAGTACAGTCACTATATCTACAGTACAGTCAGTATATCTGCAGTACAGTCAGTATATCTACAGTACAGTCACTATATCTACAGTATAGCCACTATATCTACAGTACAGTCAGTATATCTACAGTTCAGTCACTATATCTACAGTACAATCACTATATCTACAGTACAGTCACTATATCTACATTACAGTCAGTATATCTACAGTACAGTCAGTATATCTACAGTACAGTCACTATATCTTTAGTACAGTCAGTATATCTAGTCAGTATATCTACAGTACAGTCAGTATATATACAGTACAGTCTGCATATCTACAGTACAGTCAGTATAACTACAGTCATTATATCTACAGTACAGTCAGTATATCTAGTCACTATATCTACAGTACAGTCAGTATATATACAGTACAGTCTGCATATCTACAGTACAATCAGTATATCTACAGTACAGTCAGTATATCTACAGTACAGTCAGTATATCTAGTCACTATATCTACAGTACAGTCACTATATCTACAGTACAGTCACTATATCTACGTTACAGTCACATTTCTACAGTACAACCACTATATCTACAGTACAGTCACTATATCTACATTACAGTCACATATCTACAGTATAATCACTATATCTACAGTAAAGTCAGTATATCTACACTATAGTCAGTATATATACAGTACAATCAGTATATATAAAGTACATTCACTATATCTACAGTACTGTCAGTATATCTACAGTACAGTCACTATATCTACAGTACAGTCAGCATATCTACAGCACAGTCACTGTATCTACAGTACAGTCAGCATATCTACAGTACAGTCACTATATCTACAGTAAAGTCACTATATCTACAGTACAGTCAGTATATCTACAGTACAGTCACTATATCTACAGTACAGTCAGCATATCTACAGTACAGTCACTATATCTACAGTAAAGTCACTATATCTACAGTACAGTCAGTATATCTACAGTACAGTCACTATATCTACAGTACAGTCAGTATATCTACAGCACAGTCACTGTATCTACAGTACAGTCACTATATCTATCACAGTATATATATCTACAGTCAGTATCTAAGTTACATATATCTACAGTACAGTCACTATATCTACAGTACAAGTCAGTATATCTACAGTACAGTCACTATATCTACAGTACAGTACAGTATATCTACAGTATATCACACTATATCTACAGTACAGTCAGCATATCTACAGTACACAGTATACTACAGTCTAGTATCTACAGTACAGTCAGCATATCTACAGTACAGTCACTATATCTACAGTACAGTCAGTATATCTACAGTACAGTCATATATCTACAGTACAGTCAGTATATCAGTACAGTATATATACAGTACAGTACAGTATATCTACAGTACAGTCAGTATATCTACAGTACAGTCAGTATATATACAGTACAGTCTGCATATCTACAGTACAATCAGTATATCTACAGTACAGTCATTATATCTACAGTACAGTCAGTATATCTATGTTACAGTCAGTATATCTACAGTACAGTCACCATATCTACAGTACAATCAGTATATCTACAGTACAGTCACTATATCCACAGTACAGACACTATATCTACAGTTTAGACACTATATCTACAGCAGTCAGTATATCTACAGTACAGTCAGTATATCTACAGTACAGTCCCAGTACAAACAGTATATCTACGTTACAGTAAGTATATATAAAGTACAGTCAGTATATCTACAGTACAGTCAGTATATCTACAGTACAGTCACTATATCTACAGTACAGTTAGCATATCTACAGTACAGTCCCAGTACAAACAGTATATCTACGTTACAGTAAGTATATATAAAGTACAGTCAGTATATCTACAGTACAGTCAGTATATCTACAGTACAGTCACTATATCTACAGTACAGTCACTATATCTACAGTACAGTCAGTATAACTACAGTCACTATATCCACAGTACAGTCAGTATATCTAGTCACTATATCTACAGTACAGTCACTATATCTACAGTACAGTCAGTATATATACAGTACAATCAGTATATCTACAGTACAGTCACTATATCTACAGTACAGTCACTATATCTAGTCACTATATCTACAGTACAGTCACTATATCTACAGTACAGTCACTATATCTACGTTACAGTCACATTTCTACAGTACAATCACTATATCTACAGTACAGTCACTATATCTACGTTACAGTCACATATCTACAGTATAATCACTATATCTACAGTAAAGTCAGTATATCTACACTACAGTCAGTATATATACAGTACAATCAGTATATATAAAGTACAGTCACTATATCTACAGTACTGTCAGTATATCTACAGTACAATCACTATATCTACAGTACAGTCAGCATATCTACAGCACAGTCACTGTATCTACAGTACAGTCAGCATATCTACAGTACAGTCACTATATCTACAGTACAGTCAGTATGTCTACAGTACAGTCATATCTAGAGTACAGTCATTATATCTACAGTACAGTCAGTATATCTAGTCACTATATCTACAGTACAGTCACTTTATCTACAGTACAGTCAGTATATCTACAGTACAGTCAGTATATCTACAGCAGTCAGTATATCTACAGTACAATCAGTATATCTACAGTAGTCAGTATATCTACAGTACAGTCAGTATATCTACAGCAGTCAGTATACCTACAGTACAGTCTGTAAGTAAATAGTCTTGTATATCTATGAACAAATTTGACTTAATGTTGACAGTGATAGCAGAACAGAAGTCTTCATTTATTTAAACTTGTAGAATTTCACAAGTCAATGAAGGGATAGACAGGTCACATAGTGTTAATGATGAGAGATGTTTTGAAAACCTGCAGGGCACCGTAACTATGATAACATGAAAATGAATACACTAAATGTACTTATATGTTGATGCCAGAGGGTCGAGTTCATAGGTTAGAGTCACTCAAATGTACATTTCGAAAACGAGGAAACATTCCTCAATATTACCACAAATAAATAGTCAACACCTGCTTAGTTTGGTAAAAGTCTGGTCTCATCATCCCTTCCTTACAAATCACCTCTGTTGTATTTCTGGTCGAACTGGAACTATCATCCAAAGGATAACTAATACCTCCTACAGATACACACTTCTATATACCATATTTGGTCAAAACTCAATTAAAAAGTCAAATCTAGTTGAAAATTAGTCTTGACATTCCTTCATACTTCCATAAACAAAATTAGGTAAAATTCAGGCAATTATCACCTGTTACTTGTCCCCTTTTACTGTTCCTCTTAAGGTCCCCTCTATCATATTTTTTTGTCAAATTATCCCTCTTATAGATCCCCTTTATTTGTACAGTACCCATCAGTAAGTTTTGTCTCTGGTCCTCATATACTTTACTTTACTTTTACAGGGCTATCCTGAGGATTGATGATTGCTATAAATAGACAACAGCATCTGAATCAGTGGACCAAGGCATGCTATATATAGTGAGAAGCGCACTGAACAGTGGATTGAGGCATTCTATATACAGACAAAAGTGCACAGATCAGGAGACTTACACTTTCTTTAAATAGTTGGAATTGCACTGATCACAGGACTGAGGCTCTCTATATATAGAAACAAGTGTACAACCAGCAGGCTGCCACTTTCTATAAATAGGCACAAGTGCAGGACCAGAGAAGTGTTGGATCAAAGGACCAACGCTTGCTATAAATAGACTAGAGTGTCCTGCCCAGTGGTTATTAATAGACATCAGAAAGATGTCACTGTCAGTGCTTGATAGGTAACAGTGCTTACAACAGGTCACAGCAATATACACTTTTACAGCACCAAACTATTTATATCTACCAATCTCAGTATATTTTCCAGTTAAAGCCTCTGGGTGTGAGAATATTTTTGTCCTAAAACAGCCTGCAGTCATACAACACGATTTATTACCACCTGTACATAGAGTAGCATCATATACACAAGAAAGAGGCCTTTCTCACCAAACTATACTCATATATGTAATATATAGAAGGCTAATAGGCAGGACTTTTTCACTGGAAAAGCTTACCATTGAAAGTCATATCATTCTATTAACGTATATTACAGCCTTAATGAAGGATCATCATAACATTTCTGGGAATTCAATATGATTATTGCTTCAGTGTTTCTATAACCGTATTCTCAGGATCTTTAAATACACGGAGAGTGAACATTTACCATGAAAACAATAAGTGACAAGGACTATCAATGCACTGAATCAATATTTGTTTATTTACGGAGAGTCGGAGTGTGTAGTAGTTAGTTACGCTAGGTAACAACAAGGATGTACAAAATCTTTTTATGTGTACAGCAGCGCATTTTCCTTCAAATTACCAGTAAAGTGACATGACTTTTTATTTAACATTCCAGTTATACAGTCTAAGAGCTGTCTATGGCTAAACGGTGAAAAGTGGACACAAGCTAAAAAAATGGCAGCCATGAATGTAACTGCGAGTCCGTTATATGCTTTTTTCAACAGCACAGATCCAAGTTTACTCACACAGTTCTCTCATGTCATAAATGCAACATCGTGGACAAACCTGCAGCCGCAGAACCTACATGAGCGGGCCGAAGTGATCCTTTCTCAGCCAGAAACAATTCTTATTTTGGTCCTGAGTTTTTTGGCTCTGTTGGTAAATACTTTGTCTATATGTGCCACCGCAAGCATCCCACATGGTCTGACTACTCACTCCAAACTCATCATCAGCCTTGCTTTGTCTGATATTCTTGTCACATTCAGTGTCTTTATACACGTACTCAACAAAGTTTTAAATCCCGCCAAAATTCCACCACTCATGGATCCATATGAACGATTAACATCGTCCTGTATGTTTGCTTTGATCAATGGATTAAACACCATGGCGCACTTGATCTCTCTCCTAAACCTTCTAGCAATGGCCATTGACCACTACACTGCAGTCCTCCAACCTCTCTACTACAACACCATTCTGAGTCGAATTAAAGGAAATATTATGATCGCGTTGCTATGGATACTAGCCATTATTGGTGGATTCTGTAACTTTTTAACAGGTCTTAGTACATACAAAGATCGTGAACGCTATCTCAACTATTGTGAGGTGATCATGTACAATGATTTTCATGGGGAATACCTGATCATGACTGTAACCTTCATATGTCTGGTTTCCATCTCCTTTATCTATCTCCGAATATACTGTGAGGTCAAGGCTATTAACAGTAGACTGACATACCTACAAAAAGACAGTTTTCATAACAAGAAGTCACTCATTACAACGTTGCTTATAATCGGCACCTTCGTCCTCTGCTATCTTCCAACATGCATTTTTCAAATTGCAATGGTGATACAAATTCACGTTAATCGGGAAACGGTCAAAAAGTTGTTTGTGACACTGCTACGTGCTAACAAATATCTTTACGCATTGTTATTGCTAAATTCTGTGTGTGATCCTATTATTTATGCAGTGCGTTTAAAAGACGTTCAAATGGGCTACTACAGACTTCTATCACGTTGTTTCAAGTGCTATGCAATCAAAATCAAAGAAGAATGGCAAAATTCTTATCTGGATCGTCGAAACACACGCACCAAATCTTCCATTGTAGAAATAGAAGATGGCGACTCGGATGAAATGTGTGAGCCAATTACAGACAATAATGAGCAAGATTACGATATAGAAATGGCTGTAACTTCACAAGGAACAAAATTCTTGATGAATGGGCAACTACAGGAAGAAGAAAACCCATTATAACTGGTTTTTAGATTAAGGAATCAATATTGACTTGTCTTACCTCTCAAGACAATTCATTTGAGTTCATTATATAATACCTACCTAACACAACCAGTATACACTAATACGGGCCATTCTTTTTTTGTTGATTTACATTTTTTTCCCCAAATCTGATCTTTAAACTTGGTGTTGATTTGTAACAACTGTAAATGATTGATTTAAATGTCAGACTGTTCAAAAATAGTAGTAATAGATTGTGTTCATAATTACTATCTGAAATTACATCAAATTCAAAATTTCTCATATTTCATCCCATGCTACCAAACTTTTTTTTTCTCTTTTTGATAAATTTTAACCAGAGAAATTTCTTTCTTTTAAGTGCTAACATTGTCATAACAGAATGTTCTTGACCTTTATGTACACACATTAATCAATTTCACTACACGGACACTCATGTGTTAATATTTCACTATTCTGACACCCATGTATAAATATTTCACAACACTGACACCCATGTATAAATATTTCACTATTCTGACACCCATGTATAAATATTTCACTATTCTGACACCCATGTATAAATATTTCACAACACTGATACTCATGTGTTAATATTTCACTATTCTGACACTCATGTATAAATATTTCACATCACTGACACCCATGTATAAATATTTCACTAAACCACTCTCAAATGTTAATATTTCACTGACGCCCACAGTCACGTGTTAATATTTCACTATTCTGACACTCATATATAAATATTTCACAACATTGACACCCATGTATAAATATTTCACTAAACCACTCTCAAATGTTAATATTTCACTGACACCCACAGTCATGTTAAATATTTCACTATTCTGACACTCATCTATAAATATTTCACAACACTGACACCCATATATAAATATTTCACTATTATGACACTCGTGTATAAATATTTCACAACACTGACACCCATGTATAGATATTTCACTAAACCACTCTCAAATGTTAATATTTCACTGATGCCCACAGTCATGTATAAATATTTCACTATTCTGACACTCATGTGTTAATATTTCACAACACAGACAATCATGTGTAAATATTTCACTATACTAACAGTCATGTGTACCAGCCATGTGTAAATATTTCATTCTACTGACAGTCAAGTGTAGATTTTTCCCTATAATGACAATTATGTGTAAATATTTCACTATACTAACAGTCATGTGTACAAGTCATATGTAAATATTTCATTCTACTGACATTCAAGTGTAGATTTTCCCTATAATGACAATTATGTGTGAATATTTCACTATACTAACAGTCATGTGTAAAAGTCATATGTGAATATTTCATTCTACTGACAGTCAAGTGTAGATTTTCCCTATAATGACAATTATGTGTAAATATTTCACTACACTGACATTCTGTGTAAATATTTCACTATACTGACATTCTGTGTAAATATTTCACTACACTGACATTCTGTGTAAATATTTCACTACACTGACATTCTGTGTAAATATTTCACTACACTGACATTATGTGTAAATATTTCACTACACTGACATTATGTGTAAATATTTCACTACACTGACATTCTGTGTAAATATTTCAGTAAATATTTCACTATACTGACATTCTGTTGTACAGTGGTATATAATGCCTCACTTTGGAGTCCCAGCATTCACCACAGCCTATTATATGGAAGTTTGCCACCGTTAAATTCACAGTCACCATCATATATGAAACCTGTTGTAATAAATTCCCATTTGACAACATCCAGGGTGAAGGACAGCACAAAAGATTTGTATCCTACATAAACAAACATGGCTTGATGACCAAGATGGTTTAGGAATTTCAAAGACATTAAAAAGAAAATATATTATCATAACAGAGGAACTTTAAAACAACTCTAAGAATTGAACAGCTGCAGATGAAATAAGAGGATATTAAATCTGTCCTAACTGATTGAATTCAAAACTTTTCTAGTTAGTGTTTGATTTGCTCTGTCGAGTAACATTTTCCGTACTTCAATAAGACTTATATTTCCTCAGCAACTTTTTTCGAAAAGTTTTGTCCATCAGCATCCAAGAGACAAAAATATCACTGAAACTTTTACACAGTGTGAACTTGTCACTTATCATAGTAATATCAAATAGCAGTCAGATTGAGAAGCACCAATGGTGATTACAAATGCAGATATCTTGTACACAAGTTGTAATACATTAAACTATGATCAAATATATTCTAATTTTTCAACTGTTTTAAACTCTAACATACAGATTTTATAACAAAAGTAAACTTGGATTTAGAATCATCTTTGATGACAATAGCTCTGGATACAACATTCAATATTTCAGTTTCCCTGTTATACAGAATATCTGAATTTGATTTTTACATGTTGATGATGAAGTTGGTTATATAATATAAATGATGAAGGCCAGATGTTAAAAGGTATGGGGTAACAAGCCCGACCATATGGATTTTCCCTGGGCATTCCGGTTTCCTCCCACAGTAAGACCCCTCACGCCCTTACATCCGAGCCAACAAGAGTGATTAATATAAGTTGGAAAATTTATTTCACAATTGTTGTAAAATAAATAAAGTTTATTGTTATTTATCATATGGACTATGTGACCAAAGAAAGCCCAGAAATCCATGTCCTATATCCCTGTACATTTAATTATTTCTTGCTACAGTAGGCCTCGCGACCTTGACTGTCACTTGAGGTAAGCAATATTAAACATGGATATATGGTGATCAAGTGCCACGAAAAATAAATCACAATATTGATGATAGTAAGGTTTAAGTGATGTGATTGAAGCCACCAGGTTCAATATGTCATTACATGTACCATCAAACTGTAAGCTAATATTCCTAAACAAATTATAATTATTTTCAATTGAAGTTAAGCATATTATGCTCAAAAAAATAATTTTCCTCTATAAACTATGGCATTTGAGCACATACGAGACCCCTCCATCCATGAAGAGTATTTGATTCTGTCATGTCAGGGGATGAGGACCACATCATTCACAAATTTGGTTCTTCTTTGACTAAGGAAGTTTCATTTGAATACTTTCAGAGGGTTTGAGAAGAAATCAGAAATGTTACAGAGCTAACAAACTCACATTGCTGTATCGGGTGACTTAAAAACACTGTTAATGTCTGAATACATTCTCTGAAAAATGTTTAGTTAAAAAAGTTACAAAAGTTACAAACTCACATTGCTGGTCTCGGGTGACCTAACAACACTGTCTCTGAGAAATATTTGAGTGAATTAAAACCCATTTGTGATATCGTTCATCAAACAGGTTAATTACGAAATTAATGTCAAATCTATTCATTAATCTTATTGAATTATCTCCCTTTGTGTAGTGTGTGGTTAATTAGATCAAGTAAACCCAATGCATGAAATTTTTATTGGAAAATCTCGTTACGCATTATCTTCTCTAATAGAATTTAAAGATGAGGTGAACCCTGTGGGCCCGACAAAGAGACTCTCTTGTACAAAGTTATATACCATCTCACTCTCCTACACCTACAATGGGATTGTGATGTACAGTTAAGTATATATAGGCTAAAAAAATCAGAGATGGAAAGTAAATTAGAGTAATATTGATTTCATTTCATCATTATACACCGAACAATAAAATCAGACAATCAATGTATACACTTAGCTCCTATTGAATATTTCCATTATTTGAATGATGTGTAATTTTCTACAGTATCTAGATGGTTGAATAAACTCAAATACATATCTAAGGTGTTTATTTTTTCTATTTCTATTTTTCCAAAACTTAATCACCAGTTTCCTAACTGATATTTCTGTATCTTTCCATCAAGTCAATCTCTTCATTGCCTTGTACATGCTACAGTTACCCTGGGGACTGTTACATATCACAGTTACTGTGGGGACAGGTACTATAGGCATTATGGGGACTGTTTGGTCCATACTGGAGTTGAAGTAGGAACTGCTAAGAATATGTATAGGTATACATGTATATATGTTGAAATGTATTTCTTTCTATAACATACAGTCCTGAGCTATAAATAACTTTCTGGTCAGAATTATCATTATCATATATCTGCAGTGACAGCTGCGTGTCAGTTTACTAACAAATGTGTACTGTATTCACAAGGAATGCTGCATTCCTTGTATTTGCTTCATTTATATACGGCATGTGGTGAGCAGTACATCAGCATTAAAATGTCTGCATACTAATCTCAAGGACATAAATTTCATAGTTATAAAACAAATACAATAATACAGAGACAGTATCTATCACATGATCTATCATTAGGTACATGTATTCTGTACACATGATCTATCATTAGATACATGTATTCTGTACAGTATCAGGATCTATCATTAGATACATGTATTCTGTACAGTATCAGGATCTATCATTAGATACATATATTCTGTACAGTAACAGGATCTATCATTAGCTACATGTATTCTGTATACATGATCTATCATTAGATACCTGTATTCTGTACAGTATCAGGATCTATCATTAGATACCTGTATTCTGTACAGTATCAGGATCTATCATTAGTTACATGTATTCTCTACACATGATCTATCATTAGATACATGTATTCTGTACACATGATCTATCATTAGATACATGTATTCTGTACACAGGATCTATCATTAGCTACATGTATTCTGTACACAGGATCTATCATTAGATACATGTATTCTGTACACTTACAGGATCTATCATTAGATACATGTATTCTGTACAGTATCAGGATCTATCATTAGCTACATGTATTCTGTACAGTTACAGGATCTATCATTAGATACATGTATTCTGTACAGTATCAGGATCTATCATTAGATACATGTATTCTGTACAGTATCAGGATCTATCGTTAGGTACATGTATTCTGTACAGTATCAGGATCTATCATTAGCTACATGTATTCTGTACAGTATCAGGATCTATCATTAGATACATGTATTCTGTACAGTATCAGGATCTATCATTAGCTACATGTATTCTGTACAGTTACAGGATCTATCATTAGATACATGTATTCTGTACAGTATCAGGATCTATCATTAGATACATATATTTTGTACAGTATCAGGATCTATCATTAGGTACATGTATTCTGTACAGTATCAGGATCTATCGTTAGCTACATGTATTCTGTGCAGTATCAGGATCTATCATTAGATACATGTATTCTGTACAGTATCAGGATCTATCATTAGATACATGTATTCTGTACAGTATCAGGATCTATCATTAGCTACATGTATTCTGTACACAGGATCTATCATTAGATACATGTATTCTGTACACATGATCTATCATTAGCTACATGTATTCTGTACACAGGATCTATCATTAGATACATATATTCTGTACAGTAACAGGATCTATCATTAGATACATGTATTCTGTACAGTTACAGGATCTATCGTTAGCTACATGTATTCTGTACAGTATCAGGATCTATCATTAGATACATGTATTCTGTACAGTATCAGGATCTATCATTAGCTACATGTATTCTGTACAGTTACAGGATCTATCATTAGATACATGTATTCTGTACAGTATCAGGATCTATCATTAGATACATGTATTCTGTACAGTATCAGGATCTATCATTAGATACATGTATTCTGTACAGTTACAGGATCTATCATTAGATACATGTATTCTGTACAGTATCAGGATCTATCGTTATCTACATGTATTCTGTACAGTATCAGGATCTATCATTAGATACATGTATTCTGTACACAGGATCTATCATTAGCTACATGTATTCTGTACAGTATCAGGATCTATCATTAGATACATGTATTCTGTACAGTATCAGGATCTATCGTTAGGTACATGTATTCTGTACAGTATCAGGATCTATCATTAGATACATGTATTCTGTACAGTATCAGGATCTATCATTAGGTACATGTATTCTGTACAGTATCAGGATCTATCGTTAGGTACATGTATTCTGTACAGTATCAGGATCTATCATTAGATACATGTATTCTGTACAGTATCAGGATCTATCATTAGCTACATGTATTCTGTACAGTTACAGGATCTATCATTAGCTACATGTATTCTGTACAGTATCAGGATCTATCATTAGATACATGTATTCTGTACAGTATCAGGATCTATCGTTAGGTACATGTATTCTGTACAGTATCAGGATCTATCATTAGATACATGTATTCTGTACAGTATCAGGATCTATCGTTAGGTACATGTATTCTGTACAGTATCAGGATCTATCATTAGATACATGTATTCTGTACACATGATCTATCATTAGATACATGTATTCTGTACAGTATCAGGATCTATCATTAGATACATGTATTCTGTACAGTTACAGGATCTATCATTAGATACATGTATTCTGTACAGTATCAGGATCTATCATTAGATACATGTATTCTGTACAGTATCAGGATCTATCGTTAGGTACATGTATTCTGTACAGTATCAGGATCTATCATTAGATACATGTATTCTGTACACAGGATCTATCATTAGATACATGTATTCTGTACAGTATCAGGATCTATCATTAGCTACATGTATTCTGTACATTGTATACCATTACTATCTACCACTTTACATTGTCCATGTTTGACCTTGTCCACCAAATTGTCCATTATGGTCAATAAGTTCTAATAAAAGTCCACTGATAAAACTTTAAAGGCTACAGGGTTGTCATTTCCAGTCTTATTGACTCAAGATGTATACAAGTAATCCCAGATTTCCAGTTGATATTGGGGTTTGCTGTCACACATCAATGAATCCTTCCTTCTAAACAATCACAGAATGCCTGAGAGTTGACTGACCTGTGAGATCAAACCTACAGAATTACTTTGTTTTGTGATGAGAGACAGTATATGAACCACCCTGACGACCAAGTATAATAACAATATTATCATACATGTCCAGGGTTGCTTAATATTCATCTGATTGACAAGGGACCAATTTGTGTAGGGGATTGATACAAACATCTGTGGTAAAACATGTTAAGACTCTCACTGCATTTTGCATTTGATAATCAACACAAAAAACACTGAATATCTAAAAGGGATTGCCAAGAGAAGTCATTATTTTAACCTGTGATAACTCATTATAAAATACTGCAGTCAGCAAAGATGATGAATGTTGTATAGAACACCACTGTTAACTCTCCCTAATGGAGGACTAATGGCATACAGTTTCTAGTTATTGAGAATATCAAATGGAAAAGTGTGGGAAAGATAAACAACATAGAACAATGACCTGTCTCGGTTATTGGTGGTCACACATCAACCTGTCTCAGTCCTCATAGGCCATACAATGACCTTTCTCAGTTCTCACAGGTTCAACAGAGACCTGTCACAGTTCTTTGAGGTCCAATAGCAACCTGTCTCAGTTACTGGTGGTCACAGTGACCTGTCTCAGTCCTCACAGGTTAAACATCAACCTGTCTCAGTCCTTGTAGGCCATACAATGGCCTTTCTCAGTTCTCACAGGTTCCACAGAGACCTGTCTCAGTTCTTTGAGGTCCAATAGCAACCTGTCTCAGTTACTGGTGGTCACACAGTGACCTGTCTCAGTCCTCACAGGTTAAACATCAACCTGTCTCAGTCCTTGTAGGCCATACAATGACCTTTCTCAGTTCTCACTGGTTCTACAGCGACCTTTCTCAGTTCTCACAGGTTCCACAGCGACCTGTCTCAGTCCTCAAAGGTTCCACAGAGACCTGTCTCAGTTCTTTGAGGTCCCATAGCAACTTGTCTCAGTTACTGGTGGTCACACAGTGACCTGTCTCAGTCCGCACAGGTTAAACATCAACCTGTCTCAGTCCTTGTAGGCCATACAATGACCTTTCAGTTCTCACAGGTTCTACAGTGACCTTTCTCAGTTCTCACAGGTTCCACAGAGACCTGTCTCAGTTCTTGGAGGTCCCATAGCGACCTGTTTCAGTTACTGGTGGTCACACAGTCACAGGTCTCAGTCCTCATAGGTTCCACATCAAACTGTCTCAGTCCTCATAGGTCATACAATGACCTGTCTCAGTTCCTGGAGGTCACACAGCAACCTGTCTCAGTCCTCACAGGTTCCACAGTGACCTGTCTCAGTCCTCAGGTTCCACAGCGACTTGTCTCAGTTACTGGTGGTAACAAAGCTACATGTTTCTGTCCTCATAGGTTCAATATCAAACTGTCTCAGTCCTCATAGGTCATACAATGACCTGTCACAGTCCTCACATGCTCCAATGTGACCTGTCTTAGTTACTGATGGTCACACAGCCACCTGTCTCAGTCCCTGGAGGTCACACAGCAACCTGTCTCAGTCCTCGTAGGTCATACAATGACCTGTCCCAGTTTCTAGAGGTCATGCAGCAACCTGTCTCAGTCCTCATAGGTTCAAGTTCAACCTGTCTCAGTCCTTGTAGGTCATACAATGACCTGTCTCAATTCCAGGAGGTCTCGCAGTAACCTGTCTTAGTCCCTAGAGGTCATACAGCAACCTGTCTCAGTCCCTAGAGGTCACACAGCAACCTGTCTCAATTCCTGGAGGTCACACAGCGACCTGTCTCAGTCCCTGGAGGTCACACAGCGACCTGTCTCAGTCCCTGGAGGTCACACAGTGACCTGTCTCAGTCCCTGGAGGTCACACAGCAACTGTCTCAGTCCCTTGAGGTCGCACAGCAACCTGCCTCAATTCCTGGAGGTCACACAGCAACCTGTTTCAGTCCCTGGAGGTCACACAGTGACCTGTCTCAGTCCCTGGAGGTCACACAGCCACCTGTCTCAGTCCCTGGAGGTCACACAGCAACCTGTCTCAGTCCCTGGAGGTCACACAGCAACCTGTCTCAGTCCCTGGAGGTCACACAGTGACCTGTCTCAGTCCTCGTAGGTCACACAGCGACCTGACCCATTCCCTGAAGGTCATAACGCTGTCTGACTCAGTAACTTAAGTTGACCTCTGTCCCCTGGTCACGCATTCCCTAAGTGATTACATCTGTCTGCTGCTATATACCCTATTGTCTACAATATGCCTAAGGTTAAAGATGCTTTCTCAGTGATCATGACAGATAGCAATATTTACACTTTACAGTCTCCCATTAAATAAATTTCAATCTAAATTGTATTCACCGGAGTAAGCAATACTTTGTAGATCACAAGATATAAATAGCTTATCATTTTGGTGATATTTTCACCTCTGTTATGTTTATG